ACCGGGTGTTAAGTGGTTACTGGAGCCCATAGACAACTACAACGTAAATGCGCCACCCACCTTGAGATATAAGTTCTAAGGTCTCAGTATAGTTACAACGGCTACCCCACCCTTCAAACCGAAACGCATTACTGCTTCACGGCAGAAATAGGCAGGGCGGTGGTACCTACCCGTGCGGACTCACAATAATTACATATACGGTCCGGGCAACGTGGCACCGCAGGGACGATCCGTTGGTATACTCTGCTAAGCACTGCTTTTACTAGGGCTAGAGAAGCAAGGCATCATACTTAGAGATGTGTCAACTCAGGCTGATTTGGGACCGATTCGAATACTTAAAAAGTACTCAGGAACTTGAGTATTCTGACTGTTCTAATTGTCATGTAACGAGGGCTAGTCGTTTAATTCTATTTGTATTCAACAGGTCCAGTGTGCTTAGTGCGAGTTTTTTAACGTTCTCGATAGCGTGAAAGTTAGCTCATATTTGTATGGAATGGGATCGTTTGCGTACGTTTGCCGCTAGGGGCGCTGTTCCAACTGCTTACAAAATTGGGCATAACTTTTGCGCTATCGAGAACGTTAAAAAACTAGCACTAAGCACTCTGCTGAACGGTCGGTTCGTTCTTTTGTCGTCTGTTTTATGTATGTATGAGAACGGTCAATTCGTTCCTTGTCGTCTGGTTCGCGTCAGTTTTTAGTCCGTTTAACACAAAAAACTCAATTGTTATTTTTATAGAATTGAACATCGATTCAGTTGCTACATATCAATTTAAAAAAGTCTGCAGGTACACAGTTTTTTAATTAGTCACAGCATGCGGCTGCGCCCGCAAGCTCCGTTGCTTTTCACTTTTTAAGTTTTAGTCGCGAATAAACTCTACGATTAACCAGTTGTGTTATTTAATTATTATAGTTATATTTCTTCCGATAACGCCTTTATGGAGTTATTTTGGTAGTGTTCAATAATGGTTCAGGGCGTTGTCGGAAGTGAGATAATTAAATAACACAACTGGTTAATCAGAGCGTTTATTCGCGACTGAACTTAAGAAGTAAAAAGAAACAGAGCTTGCGAGTGCAGCCGCATGTCATGACTACGAACAATTTTGTTTACATAACAAACAGTGTGCCTACAGCCTTGAACCATTGGTCAGCACTACCAATATAATCGCTAAAAGTCCTATCACACATTACAAATTGTTTCAGAGCCGCCTGCGTAAACGATTCGCAAACCACCGCAGCTTCCATGTCGAGGGCCAAGCCCGCCTTTGAGTCTGCGACTATGCGCAGTGTATCGGTACACCCACAGACACAGCACACTGAGTTTCTCGCCGGATCTTCTGAGCCGGTGGTAGATTGTGGGAAGCACTGTTCTTGCTAGGGCCAGTGTTAGCAACACCTCCGGATTGAGCCCCGCGAGCTCACCTACACGCTAGAGTAACGCTGATGTAGCCTCTCAAGGCTATCAGCCTAGGTAAGAAAAAAAAAGCTTCGGTCTTGGGCAAAACTGCTACCATTCAGTGTCTCAAGTAACCCTCGTCTTCCAAAATAGCTCCACTCTACGGTACATATTTCACAAAGAAAGGAAAAATTAGTTCACATGAGACGCAATCAATCTCAGCGAGACCAACTTCATTCGTTTCGTTCTTCGAATAAAATAGACATTGTTAGGCGCAGCGAGGGAGCCTGCATATTGTGAGTCCGCACGGGTAGGTACCACCACCCTGCCTATTTCTGCCGTGAAGTAGTAACGCCTTTCGGTTTGAAGGGCGGGGCAGCCATTGTAACTATACTGAGACTTTAGAACTCATATCTACAGGTGGGTGGCGCATTTACGCTGTTAATGTCTAGGAGCTCCGGTAAGCACTTAACTTCAGGTCGGCCGTGAGCTCGTCCACCCACCTAAGCAATAAAAAAAATAATTTTTTTTGGGAAACAGGCAATATACTCGTAGTACCAGTGGCCGGGTCTGTTTGTTGGACCGGCATGTTGATGCTACATATAGGACCTCTATTGTTTGTAGGTCTGTGGTATAGATAATAACAGCATTAGAATTTGTTTAAAAAGCAATTGTTTTAACTTATGCTTTGCTTTAATAAGATACATTATTATTTCACAACTAAATATGGGAACATTTCGCGGAAGAGCCGCGGTTTGCCGATCACTTGTTCAATGTCAACTTTAGTGCCAGTCTCGGGACTGCTATCGGTCAGGTGCCCAGATTTACTTGCCGGGTACCGAGTCATAACTGTTCTTCTCCACCAATAAAATATATTATAATTGAGTCGACTATTATCAAAGCCGGCAATCTGACTTTTGGACAATTATTGGTAAATCAGAAAAACGAATTATTGACTTTGTATTCCATTGGCAGTCACAAAACTCTTCGGAACGACATCTTAGATAAATAACAGGTTAAGTATTAACCTTTATTTAATGCAGGTTTTGAACCGTATTCTTTGAAGGAGACGATTATATTCAAATAAATCTGTATTGACATATCAATAACATTTTTTTGTCCAAATGCACAGATTGCCACCTATGATAATAGACGACTCAATTATGACAATTCGTTTAAATTGTCCTCAGCAGACATCCAGACGTTCAGTGGTCACTCACCGCCTCCTTGTGTACGTCAGTCATCATTGCACAGGGGAACAGCTAAAATGCTGCCTGGTACATTTTCGAAAGACTTAGTACCAATGGACATGAGATCTTTTCGAGGCAAGATTGGGACTTAATTACAGAGTGACAGTGAGACCTGATAGGTATTACATCACAAAGAACCCACCCACAACCATAGAAGTCTTGACGTAGTCGCCTCCCGTACCGAGCGAATGAACGCGGGTGTAACTGCCGCATCATAGGAGTCCGGTGCATTCGTGTTGAGCGATGCACCGGTATTCGAATCTCAGGCGGGTACCAATTTTTCTAATGAAATATGTACTCAACAAATGTTCACGATTGACTTTCACGGTGAAGAAATAACGTGTAATAAAAATGAACCCCGCAAAATTATAATTTGCGTAATTACTGGTGGTAGGACCTCTCGAGTACGCGCGGGTAGGTACGACCATCCTGCCTATCTCTGCCGTGAAGCAGTAATCCGTTTCGGTTTGAAGGGCGGGCCAACCGTTGTAACTATACTTGAGACCTCAGAACTTATATCTCGAGGTGGATGGCGCATTAACGTTGTAGATGTCTATGGGCTCCAGTAACCACTTAGCACCAGGTGGGCTGTGAGCTCGTCCACCCATCTAAGCAATAAAAAAAAAATAAAAAAAATAAAAAAATCACGAAGAATGAAGAAAATACGGCAATATAAATTTCAAATGTTATTGCTGAAATATAAATTAGAGGAAACTTATTATTTAATATCCAAAGTGTAAGTACCTACTATTGTCGTAGCTTAAAAAAACAATGTAATAATTTAAATTAAGTTAACTTAGCGGGAAAATCATGGACGCCGAAAAGGCAGGGCAGATAGTAACGCCATCTAGTTATGATACTGAAAAACAATCCCAACCTATAATTCGAAGTTTGAGATCGCGGCATAAATAATTTAGGTACATATAATAATATTATCTGTGACATTGTTAAGTGTATTTTCTATGGACACATAAAATCAACGCCCAAAAATTTAGAGGCGGTAAAAGTTTAGCCGCAGAAAGCGCTACCTAAAATAAACTAATTAATCCGAAAATTAGTAGCTTCGCATGTTTGAAAGCGAAATACCTACACAATCACCATTTGCATTGTGATTCGCGATCACCTCCGTCGCCGAGAATGACCGAGTGGTGACGAGGGCGTAGGTGCGCCCACAGAAACTAAAGCCCAAGTATGCGAGTAAAACGCTTGATAAGTCAATGCATGGTCACCCTGTTATTGTCACCATCTAACAATTTTTATAAATTAATCATTACCAGATACATTCACCTCATCCAAATGATTAGGGGTGTATTCGAGCAACCAGCAGTCAATTGACAAAAACATAGAATTAAAAATGACATTTAAAATTTTGATTCTATGATATTTAAAAAAAAGAGATGTGTGGTGTCGTGGGACACCGGATAGGAACGAAGTTCCACATAAAAAAGAAAAAAGAATTACGAGAAAAAAATCGCGCGGTGAAATATCGCTGTGCTGAAAACAAGGCCTTATTCCACGGACTTTTTCTTACGGTTTTTACTATCATATTTTTTTCAGTTCGGTCGCGCAGCAAAATCCCTATCTTCTCCAAGCCTGCCGTAAGGAACTTCGTTCCAAAAATAAAACACTAGAAAATGGAACAAAGACATTCTATTCATTTCGTAGTTCTTATGAATCGAAAAGATGGAGCTGTTATTAAACACGACTAAGAAACGATCCAATGAACTGGGTAGCGGAATCTTTCGACCCGGATATCTTTAATTATAGCACAGCTTAATTATTTACCGTAATCAATACGATACTCTATGCACATTAATCCACATTAGCGGACTTAATACCTACTGCATTCTAATTAGTCAACTAAATATGCATTGGTTATCACTTTATTTTCTTATTAAAAGGATAACGTCCTATTGTGAGAGATCTATAATTTCCAAAGATACTAATAAATTTTATAGCAACCCTAACGCCTGCCGCGTCGGCAGCCGCGTCTGATCGCGCGCCGCGACCAATCAGGGACTCTCGTTGTCGGTTCCCGGCGCGATTCAAAGAGTAGCGACCGAGGGGCTTTCCTTTTGGCAAGCCGCGCGTGCGCCTTTACTGGCGCCGACAGTTCACCCGCAACCACCGAAGCATACACACGAGAATACGTCCGCACCTCGCTCGCTACCATTCCTTTTCGAACTTGTTTGTGGGACCCTCTGGAGTATTCATACCCAGTGCTCCAGCTGGACAACACAAAACTGGCGCCTCAACGTGGTAAGGAGGACAACACAAAACTGGCGCCTCAACGTGGTAAGGAAAATCTAGCGGTGAGTCGACGAATCGTATCGGTTTTGCAAATAAAATTGTGAACTCATGATCATGGTGAACACTCGAAGTGATAACCGTGCTAGCCGAAATCGCAGGGATGATGATGCAACGGACCCGTCGTCTGTCCGCGTCCCGCGATCGGTCTCCCCGAGCGCGTCCGCCGCCCAAGAAAATGGCGCCGGCGACGCCTCGCGCACAATCTACGAGTCCTTTCGAGAAGCATCTACGAGCGCGTCTCCCGCCTGCGAAATCGGCGCTGCTGACGCCTCGCGCTCCAATCACCACAACCGATCCGGCGACAGCCACGTGGCCCCCGCCGAAGCCACCTTCTCCAGCGAGCACGTGTCAACAATAGTAGAGGCACTACAGCGGAGCCAAACAGAGGTTTTGAAATCATTATTTGAAACGATACGGCACAACACATCAACACCAGTGCCCGCATCACATGCACACGCGAACTTCGCCCGATGTACCGCGCGCTTTAGTGGGACTGCAGGTGAGTCGCTTGATGCCTTCCTGGATGCGGCTGAGGCGTATCGCGACTGCTCCGACATCTCGGATGAGAACGCCGTCCGGGGATTGTCCATGATGTTGTGCGGCGACGCTGCCGTCTGGTGGCTGGGTGTGAAGTCCTCCATATCTTCGTGGTGCGATGCCGTATCAGCCCTACGAGACGCTTTCGGTGATCGCAGACCTCCACACCGTATATACGCTCAACTATTCAAACGAGGTCAACAAAACGACGAAAGAACGGACCGTTTCATCGCTGCGACGCGCGCTCTTCTCGCGAAGCTACCTGCCGGCGACCTAAGCGAGAAAGTCCAGCTGGACATGATCTACGGACTCCTCAGCCGCCGCGTACGGGAGAGACTTCGCCGCGACGAAGTAAGTTCATTCGACGTGCTCCTGCAAAGAGCGCGCCAAATTGAAGACGCGACGGAAGAACTTCGCTACGAGCACGATGCCTCAAGACCGACGGGAGAATTAGCAAGAAAACCATACGAGTCGACGACCGGCACCGGTCGCACCCGCCCTCCGCCAGCAGTAGCAGCGCGCACGGCCGCGTGCGCTCCGAGCGGCGCCGCCCCCGGCCACGAGCCCGCGACGCAGCCGCCGCTTGCTCCCGGAACGCCGCGTGTATTTGACTCCGTCGAAAGGAAGCGACGCCCGAAATGTTCGTATTGCCATTTCTTCGGTCACGAGAAGAACCAGTGTCGTAAGTTAGATTCAAAACAAGGTGATCAATCTCATACTAACTTATCTAAAAATAAAACTCACTCAAAATCTAGTGAAAGTGAAATTAAAAGTGATCAGTCATTTTATTGTATCGATTCAAAAGTTTGTTTTAAATTTGAAAACGACAAATCAGTAAAAGACCGTATTCATAGTTCTAATTTAGTGCATGAAACTTTTATACCTATTTTGCCAAATAGTGATGCATGCACTGATACCTACACACAGTATAAACAGCGGCGAATTCCACAAAATTATAATTTTGCTGCCCATAATTCAAATCGTTCGCGGTTTAAGGTTACTGATAACAGTGATAATGCCGATCGAGCTCGTATTGATCGCCCAGGTTCTTCTCGAGAAAAGAACCACAATATCACTGCATGCAACACGAAATTCATAACATGTAATCGATCGAGTGACGATCGCAAAAATAATAATAGTCTGAGCGAAAACATTACTCATGTTAACCCTTCAGCCGCCACAACTGAAAATGTTAACTCTTTGGTTGTCGAACCTAAAAATGATAATTTTTTTTTAAACAAAAGTAATCATTTGGATATGTTTTCTGGCGTCGACGGACATCTTTGCCGCAATGCCAATGCAAACGGGCAATGTCAAACATTAACCTGCGCGGTCGCAGAGGATTCAAGTTTTGTTCATCAAAGATGTCCGGGCGACAGTAAGATTTGTATACCATTATTTGAAAATTATTGTGATAAAAACGGGATAAACCCGAATTTTCCGAAATATGGGAATAAGCGTGATGTAATAGGATTTGATTGTTTTTATGGTTGCGGCGGAGATGACGATCTTATGGGACCCCCTATTGGTACGGCCGATTTTTAACATAAATATACTGGGTTTTGACGGCACCGCTTTAATAGACACCGCTGCAAAACACTGCATCGCGGGTCATACGCTATACGCTCTCCTCCAGCAGAACAACCAGCCTCTCCGCGTTTCCTCTCAACGAGTCAGACTTGCCGACGGTGTGGTGCGCATTATGGACGTTTTTACCACCACACTCGATGTACGCCTAGAGACGACAATTATTTCCACTCCATTCCTCATATTTCCTGAATCCACCAATAATGAAACGTTATTAGGAATAGATTTTATTACCGCAGCTGGAGTAGTAATCGACTTCAAAGAAGAGGTTTGGTTCTTTAGTGATGATGCGATGGTAAAGTATAATTTGTGTTTCGAACCTAAGTCGCGCAAAGTTTCCTGCGCCGCTACAGACATCCTTAGGGATGACGAAGGTACTCACCTTACGCCAGCTGAGCGGCAAGCGCTCGCTGACGTACTGGACAGGCACGCACACATCTTCAGAGCAGGGGGAGGTCCAACTCCGTTTGCTGAGCATCGCATCGAAACAGGTGAGCATGCACCAATTTCAGTACCTCCTTACCGTTTAAATCCGTCGAAGAAACAGCTGATGAAAGAAGAAATAGATAAAATGCTACAGGACGATATAATAGAAGAGTGTGAATCTGCCTGGTCTTCTCCGGCGCTCATGGTACCGAAGTCTAACGGTAAAATTCGTTTTTGCGTCGATTATAGACGCCTCAACGCGATAACAAAGGCCGATTCATACCCCATGCCCAGCATAGATGAATTGCTTCAGAGCACGAAGAGAGACTGTTTTATGAGTACGCTTGATCTCCGATCCTCATACTGGCAACTCAACGTTAGGGAGTGCGACAGAGACAAGACTGCCTTTGTCTGTCCGTTGGGTACCTTTCGTTTCAAAAGAATGCCGTTCGGATTGCGCAACGCGCCAGCTACCTTCCAACGACTCATCGATCGTTTGTGTTCCTGCGCCGCGTTACAGGAGGTAACTATTTTAAGGTACTTGGATGATCTGTGTATAATATCTCAAGGGTACCAGCGCCATCTACAGGACCTAGAAACAGTTTTCAATCGTCTTGCGGAATTCAACCTACACCTCAACAGAGAGAAGTGCATTTTCGCAAGACAGAGCGTCAAGTACTTGGGGCATGTCATTACACAAGAAGGCGTTTCTACCGACCCTGAAAAGGTAAGCGCTGTGCTCGAAATGAAAGAGCCGAGTAATCTTAAACACCTCAGGACATTCTTGCAAACATGCTCCTGGTTCCGAAAATTCATTCCAAATTTTTCTAAAGTCGCCGAACCCCTGACACGCCTTACGAGAAAAAACCAAATCTGGATCTGGGGCGCAGAGCAGGTGAGAGCGTTTGAAGAGCTGAAGCGTCTTTTGACCACAGCTCCCATACTAATACAGGCCGACTTTAGCCTCCCCTTCATCCTGCGTACGGATGCAAGTGACTACGCCTTGGGCGCTGTTCTATTACAGGGTGACGGAAATCAGGAGAGGCCCATCGAGTACGCTAGCCGTCTCCTTAATGCGGCTGAGCGAAACTATTCAACCACTGAGCGAGAGGCTCTCGCTGTGGTGTGGGCGGTGGAGCGTTTCCGTTCTTACCTAGACGGTAATCCAGTCATCATAGGCAGCGACCACCAACCCCTCCGATGGCTGCTATCGCTGAAATCACCAACGGGCAGGTTAGTTCGTTGGGCTCTAAAGCTTCAAGCTTTTGACATCAAATTTCAATATACCCCGGGGAAGGCAAACGTCGTGGCCGATACGCTGAGCAGACCGGTATGTTCCGATGAATCCCGCAAAGAGTGCGGTGTCTGTTCGGTTATCTGTGACCTACCCACGAAGTCACCAAGCGAAATTCGTGACGAACAGAAGTCAGATCCGGAAGTGTTCAAGGTAATCAAAGAGATCGAAGGGACCGACGACGTTGCAGCTCAAAGATGGCTCGACAGAGGCTATGTCATGGACCAAGGTGTGTTATACCGCTTTAACCCAGATTCCGATAGCGAGTCACCTCAACTAGTCATCCCTGCAAACCTAATTCCCTCCATAATCGAAGAACTGCACGACTCACCGACGGCTGGCCATCCAGGTATTGATAGAACTTATCAAAAGATTGCGCAATTGTACTATTTCACAGGGATGCGGAGAATAATCACGGATTATGTGCGAGCCTGCATCCACTGCCAACGCTACAAGGCAAACAACGCCAAACCTCCTGGTCTTCTTCAAACGCCCGTTATGAATCAGCGCAACGAGGTGTTGGCCATCGACTTATTCGGCCCGTTGCCAGTCGGAGAACAGGGGGAGCGTTGGGTGTTTCTTGTAGAAGATACCGCAACCCGATGGATAGAGTTATATGCTTTAAAGGAAGCTACATCTGAAGCTTGTGCTCAGCTCCTTATTGAGGAGTATTTCTTGCGATTTGGTCTACCTCGCAGGATTATTTCAGATAATGGAGTCCAGTTTGTCTCCGCGGTGATGCGACAATGTATGTCTGTTTTGAAAATCAAACAGAACTTTGTCCCATTATACCATCCTGAGGCAAACCCTGCTGAGCGGAAAAATCGAGACCTAAAAGCAATGCTTGCACATCTTGTAGAAGAGGACCACACCTCATGGCCGAAGAAGCTGCCTCTGATCCGCTTTGCTCTGAACGGTGCAAAGTGCCGCACTACAGGTATGTCACCTGCTTATTTATTCTTCGGCAGAGAAATGCGGTCGCCTGTAGAAGTTCAACACGACATTCGTGCTATATTGAATAAAGAAAACTTTGTTCCTCAAATATCACCTTACCTCCGGAACTTCCTAGACTCGTTATCAGCTGTTCGAGAGCGCGTGGAGATACAACAAGATAAAGCAAAGCAGTATGCCGACACTTCGCGCAGACCATCCAACACCTTTCAGGTAGGTGATTTGGTTCTCGTCAAGTCCCACTTTCTCAGCAAAGGATCGAAGGACCTTACTGCCAAGTTTCTTCCACGCCGCGATGGTCCCTATATTATTGCCCAAAAAGTCAGTCCTACGACTTACACAATCGCAACCCCCGAACAGCCTGATATTATATTAGGGAAATACCATACCCAAGACCTTACCTGTTATCACGGTAACGAAGACTCCTTACCCAAACCTGTGATTCCTAAGAGGAAACGTGGACGCCCAGCTAAGACTGTTGATGTCCTAGTCCAGGAGCGAGGGCGTTCTCCAGGACTAGAGGGGGAGTATATAGCAACCCTAACGCCTGCCGCGTCGGCAGCCGCGTCTGATCGCGCGCCGCGACCAATCAGGGACTCTCGTTGTCGGCTCCCGGCGCGATTCAAAGAGTAGCGACCGAGGGGGCTTTCCTTTTGGCAAGCCGCGCGTGCGCCTTTACTGGCGCCGACAGTTCACCCGCAACCACCGAAGCATACACACGAGAATACGTCCGCACCTCGCTCGCTACCATTCCTTTTCGAACTTGTTTGTGGGACCCTCTGGAGTATTCATACCCAGTGCTCCAGCTGGACAACACAAAAA